AGCTGCAGCTAAAAGCTACCATGAGAAAAATTATTTTATGCTACTGGTCCTTCAGATCTGGCTCAGTTATGCATTAGAAGTTTGCTATGTTAATGTTAAAAACCAAGAAAAAGTAACAGTTCTACTGTGAAGGAAATTTCCTACATTAGATCATCTAAAACCCGCGTGTATTTATGATTGTGAAGATTTATTCAGTTGCTTAATTTACCTTATTCAACATTATTTTCTACACACTGTCAATGCAGAGAGTGATAAACCAGCAACTTCCAACCAAGCTGCTTTTGAGACTAAAAACTCGGAAGATGAAAAACGTTGTGAACAAAGCAGGTCTGGCCCTTTTGAATATTAAACATCATCCTCAGTCACTCAAAGAGGAGAATTCCTTCCCCTCCATATCTTTCAAAGCTGAAATTACAAATGCAGCCCCAGAACAGGCTCCCCAGGGAAGTGGTGGAGTCAAAATCCCTGGAAGTGTTCAAAAAACGTGGCTGTGGCACTTGAGGACACGGTTTAGTGGTGAATGTGAGTGGTGGTGGTGCTGCGTTGATACAGTTGGACTTCGTGATCTTAAAAAGGTCTTTTCAGACTTCAACGACCCTGTGATGAAGAATGACATCGTATCTTACACGTGAAGTTACCCACTCCTACGGAATGTTTTACAATTACTCCAGATTTTTAAAGTGTACCAAAACAACGCAGCGATTTTACTACGAGTTCAGCTGTGCCACGTGCAGCAGCGGGCAAACCCACTCTCTGCTTTTGGCAGGACTTGGTGCCATTTCAGCTCTTCTCTCCACGAGGATCTGAGCTGGGATCTGTTCCCAGCACTGTTCAATGAATTCATAAATGACATGAAAAGGGCTCAACAGCGAGATGACAACATCTGTTGATGATAGCGAAGTTGTTCACAGTAGCAAAAGCAGTGAATGAGTGGGAAAAACTGAAAAAGGACTGTGTGTACATTACTGAGTGGACATAAAACATGCATCAATTAATCCAGGAGGAATCTCAATGAAATTAAGTGTGAAATAGGATGACTGGGGGTGGGGAAAGTGGTTCTACCTCATGTAGAGGTCAGCAGGATCCAAACTGACTCAACACTTGGAGCAGGCTGAGCTCTAGAAAACTATGGTTGTCATGGAGAGAGTATGTATGAATTATTTAAGTTACTTCCAGTGCACAAAGCGGATTTTTTATGGAGTTCTGGTTCTAAACTAAACAATAGAATATGGTTCCTCACTGAGCAAACTGCCATGTTAGGTAGGCTGGAGAACCACAAGAGTTTTACACCTCCTAACGCTTCTCATTATCAAATTCCAAAGGACAAGTCCAGTCATCACTGTAAAAAAAAAAAATACATCCAGCTCAGTAATCCCTGTGCTACAGATGTCTGGAGAATGAAGAGTGTGCAGAAGGAGGATCCTACTCTCATTGTGTTCGTGTCCTCAAAAACCCACCTGTGGTCACAGTTGGAGACAAATCAGTGCTCTAGATGAGTGTACAAGAACTCCTCTCCCCCTCTTACCCTTCACTACCTCTCTGTGAGTCATCTTCTCTATCACAGGTATAATATCCCAAAGAACTGTCAAGTGTCAGCATCTCTTCCTTGCCAGTCATAAATAACACAAATCACATCATCCAGTATCACATCACAAAGGGGGAGCTCTAAACAGACTAATACCAACAGCTCCACTGCTAAAAAAACCCCAAACATTTTTTTACTAGCTATTTCAACTGATTTCAAAGAGGGATCAACAGGTCCCTAAAATAACAGTGAAGTTTGTCAGACCTTTTTATTCTATTCTTTCTGTGTAATCTGTCAAGGAAAATCCTCTGAACTAAACTGAAAAAGCATATCCAGATTGCACAGCAGTAGCAGCTGGAGGGGGGAGAGGGATCTGGTGACTAAGCATAAGGTCTATAAATCATCTCTTAGATAATTCTATTTTCAAAACCATTATCATTGCAATGCAGCTTTGATCCCCACAAACCATTCATCCACCCAAGTGCAGCAAAACAATTCCCTCCTTTTGAAAGGAAAATCAAGCCTAGACAAAAGGTTCCATTCATTATTTGAGTTCCCTCTTCCACTAACTGGAAGGTGACTTGCTGCTCATTGCTCAATTTCCCCTACATTTTCACTACATGCTCCTCTTGCTAAGAAGAGAAACTCCCTTTGAAAAATCCCAACCTGAAAAATTACCTGGATTTCCAAGCAACAAGATCAAAGGCCTACCTATTCTAGGAAAAAGTCCTATCTACTTAACAAAATTAATGGGTATTTTAGTGACACACTACCACACTGTAATTGACTCTTGATACAGTTGTTCTGATGGTATAAAAATAGGGGGAAACTTTTAACCACAGCATCAAAATAATCTCTAAGGTAATTATCATATCACCCTTTCTCATTTTTTTTCCATTCAAAAAGACATCAAGTTACTTCAACGTGGAGCGTAACATAAAATCCTCTGCTACAGAAAGAGAAGCACAAAGAAAATTTCACTTTTTCTGGGTGCTTACAGTACTAATTCTTAATAGCCAAGGCAACAGAAACAACATCTATGTTGACACATACTGAAATCACTTTAAGAGATTAAAATTATTGAACAAATCACTATACTCCTGACTTCTATTCCCCCTCAGTCCTGTAAAACTTCTCAGGGATAAAGATTACTAAAACACAACCTGTACACAGAACATCAGAACTCAATTCTGCCCGGTCACTGCAGTTTCTTTCACACAGCCCAGCTGCCTAAATTCAGCCTGGATGTTTTTATTTCTATTACTAACTATGTTAACAAACTCCACGGGCCTCTCCAGCACCCTCCATACCGAAACACAGGCTTGTAGATGAAGCCTGGAAAAACTGCCAGGGTCCAATGACCGAGCTGGGAAAAGGAGGATGAGCAAGTGGGTTGTACCAGTAATCAAGTGCAACTCCACTCAGCATGGGAAGCTCTGGCTGGGAATGAAATATGGAGGACAAAGCAGAGGTGAGTTGTATATACAAATACATTTATTTACACAGAAGTTTCTGCAATGTCAGACAAGGAGGCTAAATCAGTGGTCCAGGCTGAACTATCCATGGAAGGAGAGAGAGGTTCTTTCCTAGAGGCACCTTCATAGAGTGCCATAGGTCATCCCTGGAATAGGGACCTTCAGGGAGCTATTCATCCCTCTTTTCACCGTCTGCTTCAGCAGAACCTGGACATCTGAGCTTCAAGAGAAGAATCTCATCCACAGCATTCAAGGCAAAACAGAAAAATGGAGGTTCCTCTGTGTGTTTGGTATGTTTTTTAGGAGTATCCAAGATGAAACTTCTCTGTGCACCCCCTTGGGAATCCTGCCATACTTTACCCAATTGCTACCCAGCTATTACATTAGGCTTACACAAATACACCCAATATGCTCTTTCCCAATTATCCAATTCCACCTTTGAGAGTTATTTATGCTTCTTGGAGAGATCTGGATTCACACACACCAACTACCTTTACTTTACTGTACTTGCACAGTGTCTCAATTTTGTAGCCTCCTCACTGTGTTTGATTGCAGATGCTTTGCCAACACACTCCCTTCTCAAGTGAAAACAGCATTTGTCTCAAAAAAAAAAATATCTTTCCTCAGCTCCACTCTGAAAGGAACTGAACAGCCTGAAGAACTACTTCAAAAAGAAAAACAATTTGGCATTTAATATGTAGTGAACAATGAAGCAATGAACTGGAAATCAAGTATTAGGGTGGAAAACTGCAGCTGTACTCAGTTGGTACCTGCAAGTATTCGCTTCTGAAACTGGGTAACAGCTGTAAAAGGTGTCAGTGGTTACTGGAGAGATTCTGTTTGTATTCCCTCGAATCACAGGGCTGCCACCACGCAATTCTTATTTCTTCTTGGACCCACCGTATCTAAAAAACAATGATCCCCTTGTGCTGTGGAAGGGATGGAATGTGAAATCCCATCCACATCCCAACAGAATCCCACAAACATTTTGGCAGGGAAAATTTATTATGTAAAGCCCAGATGGCATCCCAAATATTTCTACTTCAAAATTTAGAACTTTTTTTTTTTTTTTTTTCTTAAAATAAACTATACAAAATTAACTGTGCAAGAGCATCAGGCAAGGTAACCAGACTTAACTGAGCAGTTATTTGGACTATGGGAAGAATGGGAATGTGGTTTTCTCCATTTAACTCCATTGTCAGAAATGAATAATATTTTTCTATTCAACTACATTTGAATGACTGGCAGAGAAGGAAGATATAATAAGCAGATACATCCAGTAACATATTCTACTTGGAGAAGAACTTTTCCAGTTATCTAAAGCCTAACAGCTTTGCCACCAACTTCTGCAGCAGCATTTCAAACTTTCAGAAATGAATTTGCCATTTTTTACTATTCTTTATTATTCTAAGGGGGTTCTTTCACTTTTTTTTTCCACTATGCAATTTCAGCTCTGGATCTGGGAATACGGGCTTCAAAGCGGTTTTTAGCTGCTGTTTCACCAAAGCAGCTAAACCTGATTATCAGCTCAGTTTAAACATGGATTTAGTCACTGCCCACCCCTTTAGGCTCTGGGATGAAGATCGATCCCTGATTCCGACTGTCATTTTGCAGTGAGCCCACTCCTACATTCCTTTTATATCTATCACTTCACTGAATGCCAAAGAAATCTCAGTGTACTTGGCATGAAGGCTGCACTTCCTATATTTATGCTCCCACTAATGTATGCTCCGTTTTAGTCCTTTTACCAGCTTAAAATCATCCGAGGGAAGACGGTACGAAGCGCAAAACAGCCCATGCAGCTGTTTTACTGACACAAAACACTGATCACCCACACTGCTTTCCATCGCCACCTTTTTCCTGGATTTTATGTTTAAATACACCCAAAATACGAACCATGGCAATTTTCTTACAGTATACACAGTCATGTCATGTTTGTTGCTCCACCTCAGACTTTCAGTACTTCCAGAAAATAAATCAGTACTTTTTAATTGTACTACCTTAACTTTGCTGGCAGAAGCACATTTGATCCTTCAAGGCAGATGAAAAGTGAAATGCTCTCTCCAGGCAAGAATTCCTTGTATCTGGCAGGCTAGCACTTCATCCTTTTTAATTATTCCACAGGTGGTTGCCTTGGAAACTGCCAAGTAGCTCTCGGATTTGAGGGATCCAGCATGAGAAAAGTAACAAGCCTCTGTAGCCACGGCATCCAGATCCACGCTGGCTGCAGCGACAGGAATCAGAACAGTCACAGAAACCTGCAAGAGATGGTTAAAAGAAACAAGGATTAATTACACTGCTCAGTTCTTCAGATATAAAATACAGAGAATGCCGACAGCCCTCGAACAGCGGATGCAAACTACGTTTTAGGGAGACACGGCCAGCACAGCTTCCCAGCATAGCCCTGGATTTCACCTTTGGAGGACAGCACTGGAATTGTAATGCTGAAGGACCTCACGAGTTCAGGCTTTCGAGATCCAGCAAGATGATATTTTCCTCAGCCTTCAATAGAGACCTTCCTGAGCATCTGGTCCAACTGCCTGAAATTCAGTGCTATTGTTTAGCTTTGAATAAAAATAGAGCGACTATAAATAGCTCCCACCGCGAATGCTGAATCACTGTATTCTGTATCATACAGCAAATTGCTCCCAACTTCATTTAGCTTCTAAAACTAGGAAAATTTTCTTTGCTTAAAACACAATTACAAGCCTAGCAAAGCATCTAATTCTGCTTTCAAGTCGCTGGTCTGAAGGCGCAGAAAATTTTCCTTTCCCTCTGTGATTTCTCATTATTTCAAAAGCTGATAACTCGCGCTTAAATGTATAAATAAATCCGCCACAAAACCAAACCAAAGCAAAACCTAATTACATTTTCTGTCTCTGGTCAAGATTACAGCATTTCAATTTTTTTCAAAAACCTTTTTCTTTTGGTTTACCCATTTTCACTTTTTAACCGAGAAATAATTTAGCAATACTCCTTAGAAAAATCATTTTCATTCAAACTTTCAGTCACATAAATGGCCACTCCCACACCCGGAGGCCTCCTTATCTTTGCTGATATGATTAATATGTCCAAGTTAACAATGGTTTCTCAAGACTTCACTCATATGGAAGTACTTGGATTAGTGGTATTAACAAAGTGCCTGGCAGGAAATCAAGTAAGACGTGGGTTTTCCTTCACCCTTCCATAAAGAGACACCCAAAAGACACAAGAATATGACTGTTAATACTAGAGCTGAGCTTTCCTAGAACAAGTTACGGTAATTATGTATTTACTGCACAGAAAAAAACTCAGGTGAAGTAACAGAAATGAAAGGGTTTATGAATGATCTCCCCAGTGCCCACTCTGCCCTCTCTTTTTTGCTTTCATCAATCCCTTGCCCGATTGAAAATTAGGACATGGAACTATTTTCCTCCTCTCCCTTCTCCCCTCCCTCATCAAATCCCACCAAGAACAAAGCCCATTTAAAGTATTCCTACACAGGTTGCCTTCTTCCTAATGAGTTCCATAGGTCTTCCTTCCTTGCTTCCCCCTGCACATCTCCTTCAGTCACATAATTTTCCCCTTTATGAACAAGGTTTCTGACATGAGCTGACAAAACCAGGCATTTTCTTTCCCTTCTACCCCAGCAGCTCCAGGAGTGAGACCTACGAAATCCTCTGTGGGTTCATTTAGGATGAACAAGAGTTTTCTGAATGCCCCTGTCCTGCCAGCCCAGGGTACACCTGCCATCCACACCATCCATCCTCTGGGAGAGGCAACGTGCCTCCCTTTCATCTCATCAGGTTTGGTTTGTTCAGCATCTTTCAGGGATTTTCCCTGCAGAAGTGGCATGCCAAAATACTGTGGAATATCCAGAGCATCTCTCTGTTCCTCCTCTTCACAGTTACAGCTATAACCACCACATGCAGGAGAAAAACACCTTTTCTGCCCCCAGTTCTCTCGAGTCCTCTTTGACAGACTGAGTCTCCAAAGCCTCAAAACGACCCTTTTATCACAGATGGATCTTTCCTTTGAGGAAAGGTAGGTTTTTCATCCCTGCCTCAGGCATCTTAACATTTCAAGCACATCTCACTCTGCACTCATGGTATCATTTCTTTGCTTCTCACAGGACATAGAGAGAAGAACTCTATCTATGATGTCAACTCAGAGTGTTCACCTATCACTGTTCCAGTCAAATCCGGTACTTTACCAATTCCCCAAAGTTAATCCTTTTAACCCACTGAGATGTTTCCAAAACCAGGACATCCAGTTCTCAACAGGCTCTAATGCCTCCCATTTTCATTTGCCTTGTTCTCAGAGCAGCATCATCCTGAGATCAATTCCAAAGTTCTGTTGCAAGTCTTCTTCTAACGTGATTTAGATCCCACACCGTTCTAAAGAACGTCTCAACAAGCTGATTTCTGGAGTCTTCACCTATTGTAAGTGATCACACTGTTGCATCTTTTCCCTATCCTCATCATCTCAGAGCAAGTAAATAATTTCAAAAGCCGTAAAAAGATGTCTTGCTAGTTTTTTATTTTTTAAAAAATTTATTCTGGAAAGCTTTGTAAGATGCATTTAAGTTAAACATGCTCCTCTTAACACATACTCTTCAGATATCTTGCTTCTGTGAGCAGCCCCACCTGTGCACTGGCTTATCTTTGCCATGTTCTTCCTGTTCAAGCTTCTTAATCCCAGTTCTATCTCTGCCAGTCTGGTGATATGACTTGGCTCTTGGAGACTCTATAGATAAAGGTCACTCATCAGAGCCATGAGATGAATAATCCACTGTCTGACTCCGACTCCTTTTAATTTGTGTAACATTTACCCCCTCTCAGGTGCCACAAAGACACCTGGACCACCAAGGAGCTCCACCAGCTGAGTTTCTGGCCAACCCTTTTCTAGACTTAAGGGAATGTTTCTGTGCCACTGCCTCTTCAAAATACAAATCAAATCTTCTGCCTCACTCTTCAGGAGACACAGATCTTTGCTCTTTTCCAGCCCCCAAGCCCAGGGCTGCCTCAAGGCTCGTATTTGTCTCTACCACCATTGCAATGAGACCCTGGGTCGCTGAGTGATGGAGGAGCTGCCTGCTCCCTCCTTCAGAATGAGTATCATGAAACACTAAAAGCACTGTAAACTGCAGAGCTCTGTGTTATTAGCAAAATACATAAAACATGGCACTCGTGAATAGTTTAACTAAAAGCAAGATGAATAAAATACTTTTAAGTAACTCCCCTGGTCCACTGCGGTTTCACTTAGGTTTTTTTCAGGATTGTTCTCAATCCATTAACAACCCAGTTTTGCAAATCCCTCTGCATCCCTGAAATAAGTCTTTGTTTCCACGTTCGAGTGTGCACCAACCCTGCTGGTTTTCTCCTCCTCCATCTCCCTTCCTAGCTGAAGCCTCCTTTCTGACCACTCTCTATCCAGTCCTCCAAAAAGCTGCTTCCCAAAAACACACTCAGATGCTCTCAGGGAATGCAACATCTCCCTCCCACCAGAGACTGGCAGCTGATGGTAAATACAGCAACCAGGACAGCACGACAGGGAACCAACCTTCCCCACACCGTACTCAGCAAAGACACAAGGAATTCACACACCACGCACGGTGCATCCCACACTGGGGTTTTCAAAAAAGGACCAAAAGGTCAGCTTGCCAAAACCTCAATTAACAAGACCAGAGTTCTTAATTCCCTTTTTTTCCCCCTGCAGAATTTCCTGTTTGGTTTACGCAAGGTACATTCAAGCCTCGACGGTGCTTCACGGTGCAAAGTTCTTTGTCCTGCTCTTGGTTTCACCCACAGCTCAATTAATAATTTGGAAAACTTCATGACCATTCATTTTAAAATTTTGGGTTCTCCAGTTGAGATTTTTTTTTTTTTCTTTTAAAAAGTCTTCAGAACTTGCTATGCATGAAACTGATACACAGCCACAACCACATTCCTTAGCGAACCGGAAAACTGATGTTTTCCTGACAACTGTACTTTTTGGCATCTGCAGGAGGCACACAGACAGCTTTTACCAAGTACAAAACTTACTCTGAATTTAATGTTTTGTGTATTTTTAAAATAAATGTATTGTAGATCACAGACACAACAGCAAAGAGGGACTGCAGTCAAAGTCAGTCCCACTGCTCTCTCGGGAAAATAAAAGTTAAAGACTCCCACTGACTCCAAAAGCAGTGGAATAAGGTTCCAGAAGCAATTAATCATTTGAGATTTTTTTCCCTAAAAGAAATCCTCTTATTTTAGCACTGTTTACTGATCTTCCCTTCTTACATCCTTTATTTTCCAGCTGAAAAGAAGTTAAAGGGTGTTTTAGCAAGAGATGTCAAACCTGGATACTTCTTTTTTACTATTTGAAATATAATAAGGAGAAAACAGCAGCAATCTTTTGAAAACATTAATGGCTGGCAAGAATCCCACCCTTTTCACAAGGAAAGAAAAGACCCTGTAAAGAAAATTATTTGCTGTTTACTATGATGGGGTTTTAAGGTTTACTTGCAAATGTTTGGTAAATAAAAAAAGACATCTTTCTCTTAAATTATTTTGAACTACAAACAACTACATCAGACTGCAAAGCTTTCTTTAAACTGTTCCACCTCCAGTGAGGATCATCACAACTTGGCTGCTTTACAGCTTCACCAGGCTAATACACATCTGCACAATGAATACTGAAACAAAAATGAAAAAGAAAAGACAGTCTTTGCTGTCTTCAATAAAAAAAACCTAAAGTGAGAATTTTAAATGAGAAATATGGGAATTTCCCCTACAAAAATCACAGGTGGCCAGAAAAAAAATGGAGCCAAGCAGTTTTCCCACAGTTTCAACAAAAATATTGTACAAAATAGATGTAAGAAGAACCACCAGGACGTAAGACATCGCCTGGGACAGGACTAGTTCAGAACAGATGTCAACCAGCAACTGCACGAAGTGAAATGAGAAGGTAACCAAGACAGGTAACACAGTTTGGAGGCTCAGTCAGTAGAAATAAAGATATCTGAAGAAGGGAATCACAGAATAATTTAGGTTGGAAAAAGCCCTCCAAAATCATCTGAGTCCAACCACGAACCCAGCACGGCCAAGATGCAGCAGCAGAACATCCTCAGGACAACTGCGGCTGGGCAGCTTCGAGAAGCTGAATCTGGGACAGCCCAAAATGAGATGGTCACTTTAGAGACATTTACGAGTTGAATTACACTGGCAGGGGTCAGATCTCAAGGGAAGGTGTTTCCTTGCTCCCTATCTAAGTGGTGGCAACAGCTCTGATGAAC